TCCTAGGTAGTGTCGACATTTATTTTAACCAAAGATATATAGAAGCAATATGGACAAAAGATAAGAAAGAAATAGCTAATTTATCATAACGAGTAGCAACCCTACGAAAATTCTTGAGTTTATTGAACATTCTTTCGATGAGATTTCTCTCTTTATAAAGCTCTTTATCGTATTCTCTTGGTGTTTTTCTATTGGAACGTGGTGGAATAACCGGTTCAGCATTGATAGCTTCTGCCGCTTTAATCATATAATTTGCGTCATACCCTTTATCTGCAATAAGTGCTGCCATTTTCTTGCCTTCCACTAAGTCTAAAGCCTTTACATAATCCGACCTTTGTCCAGCAGTAACAAAAAACCTTAATGGGTTGCCAAGAGCATCACAAGCAGCATGTAATTTGGTTGAATAACCACCTTTAGATCGCCCCAATCCCTGATTTTCCTCTTCAGTCTCCTCATTTTTTTTTAGCACCAGCTGCATGCTGATGTGCCCTTATTATTGTTGAGTCTATCATCAGCCATTCCGTGTCTTCGTCTACAGCTAGAGTATTGAAAATCATCTGCCACACACCTGCTTTTGCCAATCTTATGAATCTTTTATGCACACTAAACCACTTGCCATATTCTTCAGGCAAAGCTCTCCATGGCGCTCCTGTTCGCCCTATCCACATCACTGCTGCTATGAACTTTCTGTTGTCCTTTGCACTCCTTCCACTATCCCCTTTCTTTCCGGGTAAACTCTCCTTTATCCTTTCCCATTGCTTATCTTTTAAGTCGTATAACATCCTTAGCTTCTCTCAAAAATTGTTATTATAACTCCTTTCTTTTTGAATGTCTACACTACCTAGNGCGATTGGTGATAAAGTAGCACAGTTGTAAGAATTTCAGAATGCGTAATCTCTGGTACTCTCGTAGGTTTTTTGCTCCTTGATAGGAGTTTTTCTGCAAAATTTTTGTCGACCATATTGCAAAAATCGTCGATTAGGCAAAATAATTCTGTTATATTCTTCTTCATGGGTAACCTCTCTATTTTTTAAGATAAAATATCTCAGAGTTTACCCTATTTTCTTAACTTTTTCAGTGATTTTTAATCCATAGTTGGGG